CTCGGACTCGTGAGTGTGTCAGCTGTTTCCTGTTTCCAGTAAAACCAGTGACTCTTAACGTGTTCAAAGATCAGACTCTGCACTTCTAGTTCAGACACAAGTCAAAACTGTGATTATTATTTGTGAAATGTGGAGCAAAACTTCAGATGCAGGATTTTTAAAGCATAAAAAATTGGAGATAAAGTTCACAGGAAGTAGAGTCACTGTGACTAATCTGCAGCTTCAGCTCGATCCCTGCGCCGTGTGGATGTAAACAGACACACGAGAGGAACTACTCCCACCTTTTTACTTTTAAAGAACGCAAAAAACTGGATTCACAGTGCGGTTTTGTGGACTGAGGTCATTATTTACGGAGGACAATTTCTACGGACAATGTGGACGATATGCTGCACTTTAAATTTACAACTTTACGAAAGGAGAGGAATAAAATCTTCTCATTATTTTCACTTTATCCCGAGTTTGTGAAGCCACACAAACAAAATCTTGTGTGTTAATTGTGTCAGTCGGGTTCAGTCGGACTCAGTCTCTGCTCTGTCGGACGCGGGCAAGTCTCGAACAGAAAAATTCAGCTCTATCCACACTCTAGCCACAGCTGCCTTGGGACAGACTGACAGAAACGAGACTGCCAATCTGTTCTATCGACCTCTTCCAGCCCCAACAACAACACAAACACAAACACCCAAGACATACTGGGAATTATAGGTAAAATTCAGTGGTGATGCGTCAGAGCCTGCAAGTCCTTTTCTGGTGGCCTAAAAAAATCTCTGAATCACAGTCTGATGTTAATTCTATTATTATTAAATAATTCCAAATGGTCTGTCCACTTCCTTTCAGAGTTTTTCCGATGCTTGTGCTGCTTCCACACATGGATTTTCATATTAAAGTATTTGACCAATCACATTTCAGTCGTCACTTGTTGCCGGGCAGAGTCAAAGTCAAAGAAGTGTCCCTGAGGCCTTCACAATCTGTTCTGCAGGAACTCAAACAAAAAATAAATGTCCATGAAACTTTTGCTTCAACCAATCAGATTTTGAGTTGGTGTCACCGGAAACTTTAACAGCGAACGACAACGACACTGGATTCAGACCCGACAGTCAGAGAGTGAACCAGGTAAAGGGCTGCGTTACTTTTATTAATGACCAGTGTGTAGAGTAGTGAGGATTTTTTTAAGTGGGGGCACGTAATTCGTGACTGAACCAGGACTAAACCAGGACTGAACCAGGACTAATCTTGGACTTGAGAGAGAGAGAACCCGGGCCCCTTTTGTTTTATTTTGTTTTGTTTTGTTGTCACCGTTGCCAGTAGCTCCAGTTTGACATTTATATTTGACTATTTTATATTTGTTATTTTTTCATATCTCACGTCGGGAGAAGTGTGTGGACGGCGTCTCGTGTACCACATTAATCTGTGTGTCGTTCGTTCATTCGTTTTTCAATATAAAACCAAAAATAAGAAAACAAAAAACCAACAGTTTTCTCCATTATTTGTCTCCAAAACCAAAATGAAAAAAACAGATAACGATTTGTTTTTTCAGTTTTCGATTTTGTGTTTAAATGAAGAATGGAAAAAACGGATAATGACCGTTTCCCGTTTACGTGGCTTCTGGAACTGCGATGTCGGACTTTTGCGCTGCATACAGACTGAACCAGGACTGATCCAGGTTCGGGACCAGACCGGGACCAGAGCAGGACCAGAGTGGACTCCAAGCTTTAACTTCGAGCCTCCGCAGGGTCTGAGCCTCAGCTTCGAGCTCTGGCCCTGCTGTGGGCTCTGAGCCTCCAGTCTGGCTCCGGGTCCAGGTCCGAGACCAGACCGAGACCAGAGCGGGACTGAGACCGAGACCAGGCCGGGACCAAACTGGACTCACGCTTCTGTCCGGATGCTGCACCACCCCGGAACCAGCCGCGGTTCTTGAGCGCGGAGGACCGGAAGTCGCAGTCACGGAAGTCACGGAAACGGGAAACGGCGTCCAGGTCCGGCACCACACCGGGAACAGACCGGGACCAGAGCGGGACTGAGACAGATCAGACCAAGACCAGACTGGGACCAGACCAGGACCACACCGAGACCAGACCGGGACCAGGCCTGGACCAGACCGGAGGCTCAGAGCCCACAGCAGGGCCGGAGCTCGAAGCTGAGGCTCAGACCCTGCGGAGGCTCGGAGTTAAAGCTCGGAGTCCACTCTGGTCCTGCTCTGGTCCCGGTCTGGTCTCGGACGGATCAGTCCTGGTTCAGTCCATATGCAGCGCAAAAGTCCGGCATCGCAGTCACGGAAGTCACGTAAACGGGAAACGGTCGTTATCTGTTTCTTCCATTCTTCATTAAACATAAAATCAGAAACTGAAAAAACGAATCGTTATCCATTTTTTCATTTTGGTTTGGAGACAAATAATGAAGAAAACTGTTGTTTTTTCATTTTCTTATTTTTGGTTTTATATTGAAAAACGAATCAACGAATGATACACAGATTCACATTGATGGTGGCTACAGGAGTTTTCTATCTGTGATGCAAAGACTCTTTATACTGTACTTCTGTGTAATAAGATGTTTTTATAACCATGAAACAGTTGTTGAGGAGTGGATTGTTTCAGACGGAGCACGACTCAAGGTCTAGAGGTGAAATGTCTCGCCCGAGGACACAGCGACAGTTTTTGGAACAATTTGATATTTGGTCGTATCGTCTTTTTTATGATTCACTGATACACAGCCGTCTGCTCGAACACACGCACAAAAAGTTACTCGAGTAAACGTCACGCACCTGCAGCCGGCTCTGAACGGGACTCAGACTCAGGACAGACCGACCCGGACTCTGACTCTCAGGGATAAAGCTCCAAAACACAGACAAAACACAGAGAGGAACACAGAGGAGAGAGTTAAACACACGTCACTCTGCTGGAGATAACGTGAAAATATAACAAAATAAAAACCATATGAACATCTGTGAAACAAGAACACGGCGGTTTGTTACCTGTAAATATCACTCAGCACCTTCACTCTTCACTAAGACACTTTAAAAACACTTTAAAACTCTTTAAAACACTTTAATGCACATTCGATCACGCAGCACTTTGAACATATATGTCAAAATCTGTTTAAAACTTTTTTTCTAATAACAGACATTCTTTGGTACAATATCATCCACCTGTTTCACTGAAAATGACAAAAATACAACTAAATAAATCTGTGTATCTTTCGTTCATTTGTTTTTCAAAATAAAACCAAAAATAAGAAAAATAAAAAAACTGTCTTCATTATTTATGTATTTGGCTACAGGACCAGACTTGGACTGAGGCCCGGACCAGACCAGGACCAGACCAGGACTGAGGCCGGGGCCAGACCAGGACTGAGGCCGGGGCCAGACCGAGACCAGACCAGGACTGAGGCCGGGGCCAGACCAGAACCAGACCGTGACTGAGGCCGAGACCAAATCAGGACCAGACCGTGACTGAGGTCAGGACCAAACCAGGACCAGACCAGGACTGAGGTCGGGACCAGACCAGGACCAGACCGTGACTGAGGCCGGGACAAGACTAGGACCAGACCGTGATTAAAGCCAGGATTAAAAACGGTTCAGTCCTGGTTCAGTCCTGGTTCAATCCGTATGCGGCGCAAAAGTTCAGCATCACAGTCACGGAGGTCACGGAAACGGGAAACGGTCTGGTCCTGGTCTCAATCCTGGTCTTAGTTCTGGTCTGGTTCGGGACCTGGTTTAGTCCTGATTTAGTCCTGGTTCAGTTGAATGAACAAATGACACACAGATTCTTCTTGGAGCTCCAACGTGCACCAGCCCATTCTCCTAATATTTCAACTTTATTTTGACTATGACTTTATTCTCATAAAATTACGACTTTTTCTGTCTTCGACTTTATTCTCCTGATATTACGACTTTAATGTTGAAATGTTACGACTTTATTCTCGTAGCCCAGGCATCATTTATTTTTATCTGAGCCTTATACTCTGTCGTACATTTAAATTTAGCTAGATATTGTTTTTTTTCCAATGCATAGATTAAAAAAAAAAAAACTTAAAGTGTTTGGTTTTATTATACGACGGAGTATAAGGGTCAGATAAAAAAAAAAAAAAAAGATGCTGGTGCTACGTCGTAAAATTTCGACATTAAAGTCATAATATTATGAGAGTAAAGTCGAAGCCAGATAAAGTCATAATTTTACGAGAATAAAGTCATAACTTTACAGGAATAAAGTCATAATTTTACGAGAATAAAGTCGAAGTGAAAATAAAGTCGTAATTTTACGAGAATAAAGTTATAATATTACGAGAATGAAGTCGTAATAAAATCAAAGTCAAAGTGAAAAATGCGGCAGAAGAAGAACCTTGTTTTTCAATATAAAACCAAAAATAAGAAAACGAACAACAATTTTCTTCATTATTTGCGCCTCCGGATTGAACCAGGACTAAACCAGGACTAAACCAGGACTAAGGCCTGAGAAGCCTGACAAGGACTGAGACCAGGATTGAGACCGGGAACAGGACCAAGACTGAGACTGGGACTGAGACCGGGACCAGACCGGGACTGAAAACGGTTTAGTCCTGGTTCAGTCCTGATTCAGTCCTGGTTTAGTCCTGGTTCAGTCTGTATGCGGCACAATATTCCCGCATCGCATTTTAAAGTCACGGAAACGCCATTTCCCATTTCCGTGACTTAAACCAGGACTAAACTAGGACTAAACCGTTTTCAGTCCTGGTCTGGCCTCGGCCTCAGTCCTGGTCTTTCTGGTTTGGTTCCGGACCTGATTTAGTCCTGATTCAGTCCTTGTTCAGTCGAATGAACGAATGATACACAGATTCTTCTCCTTTACAAAATGCTCCAAATTCTTCATTCTCCACTCGGTCAGACTTTCCGAGCAGCCGATATTCTCATAATATTATGACTTTATTTTAACTTCGACTTTATTCTCGTAGCGCCAGCATTTTTTTTTTTTTTTTTTTTATCTGACCCTTATACTCCGTCGTATTGTTATAATAAAATCCACAGAGAATTCAGGATTATTTCTCATTTTTTATTCAAGAACAACATTAAAACAGAACATCAGACAGTAACTCTACAGTCGCCTCTTGGACCAGTGAATATTTACAGGTGATAAATAATCTTTGGTGACACCGACACTACAATAAATACAATTAAATACTTCAAATACTACACAAGTACACAACTACACAAGTACTACACACATACGTACACATTTACAGTTCACATTCTACACAAAAACAACAACAAAAACAGTTTGACACACACACGTTTTCGACACACTGCTGACGCGGCGTTAAAGTGCTTCCTGCGACACGAAGGACGTCATGTGACCAGAAATCGACCAATCAGAATCAACCAATCAGAACTGACCAATCAGAATCCGGCTGCGGTGAGTTCAGAAGAGAAACCGGCTCATGTGAGAATGTGGAAGTCAAAACTCAACTCAGGTCAAGTTTGGTGGTTTGGTCCTGGTTTAGATCTGGTTTAGTCCTGACTTAGTTTTGGTCCTGGTTTAAATTTGTGGTTTAGTCCTAGATTAGTTCTGCTTTAGTCCAGGTTTAGTCCATAGTTTGGTCCCGGTGTAGATTTGGTTACGTCTTGGTTTGGTCCCAGTTTAGATCTGGTTAAGTCCTGGTTTAATCCTGGTTTAGATCTGGTTAAGTACCGGTCTGGTCCCAGTTTAGATCTGGTTAAATCCTGGCTTAGTTTTTGTTAAATCTTAGTTTAGATTTGGTTTAGTCTTGGTTTAGTTCTAGTTTAGCTCTGGTTTAGTCCAGGGTTAGTCCTGGTTTAGATCTGGTTAAGTCCTGGCTTAATTTTGGTTAAGTCCTGGTTTAGTCCTGGTTTAGTCCTAGTTTAGTTCTAGTTTAGCTCTGGTTTAGACCTGGTTTAGTTCTAGTTTAGATCTGTTGAAGTCCCAGTTTAGTCCTGGTTCCGTCTTAGTTTTTATTAAGTCCTGGTTTAGATTTGGTTAAGTCCTGGTTTAGTCCTGGTTTAATTCTGCTTGAGTCCACATTTAGTCCTGGTTTAGTCCTTGTTAAATCCAGGTTAAACTACTGTTAGTTAAGTCCATGTTAAATCTTGGTTAAGTCCTGGTTTAGACCTGGTTTAGACCTCGTGCAGTCCTAGTTACATCTTGGTTTAGTCCTGGTTTAGTTTCCAGTTTAGTCTTGGTTTAGATCTTGTTTAGCCCTTGTTTAGTCTGGGTTTAGTCCTGGTTTTGTCCAGATTTAGATCTGGTTTAGCTCTGGTTAAGTCCTGGTTAAGTTTTGATTTAGTCTTAGTATAGCCCTGGTTTAGTCCTGGTTTAGTTCTTTTTTTAGCCCTTGTTTAGTCCGGATTTAGTCCTGGTTTAGTCCAGATTTAGCCCTGGTTTAGTTCTTTTTTTAGCCCGTTTAGTCCGGGTTTAGCCCTGGTTTAATCCTGGTTTAGTTCTGGTTTAGACCTGGTTTAGACCTGCTTTAGACCTGGTTTAGTTCTTGGTTTAGTTCTGTTTCAGCCCAGCCAAACCCTTTTCAAAGTGCAGCGGTGGCACAGTGGTTAAGCGTTCTCCCACACTCTGGAGGGTTGCCAGTTCGAGTCCCTCGGCGCGGAGCTTCACCCACATGTGCAGAAAACACCCGCTCGTTTTTTTTTCACGGCGCTCGGTTTCGTCCATGTGGCGTCTCGGCTCCAAACAAAACGCCGCTCCTCAAATACAAATGAAAAGATCCTCCTCCCGAGCTAAACCTGGACCCGGGAACGCCGAGGGATTACGTAACCCGCCAGGAATTTAACCAGACCGGATTAACCAAAGTTTTCCAAAGAGTTTTCGCCAATTTTCACTGGACACGAGCGTTTTTTCCTACACCACGTGAACACAACATCTCCACTCGGCATTTTTTTAGTGGTTTTTTTTTTTTTTCCATTACAAGTGAAGATTTAAAGTGCACATGACGAGTCGGGTCGGGTGAGGGCGAGTCTCACCAAAACACAGAAAAAAAAAGATGGGTTTAAAGTTTCAGACTAGTTTTAGACTAGTTTGTTTTGTTTTGGTTAAGTCCTGGTTTAATCCTGGTTTAGATCTGATTAAGTCCTGGCTTAGTTTTGGTTAAGTTCTGCTTTAGTCCAGGTTTAGTCCTTGTTTAGTTCTAGTTTATCTCTGGTTAATTCCTGGTTTAGTCCAGGTTTAGTCCTGGTTTAGCTCTGGTTAAATCCTGGTTTAGACCTTGTTAAGTCCTGCTTACATCAAGGTTTAATCCTGGTTTAGTTCTAATTTAGTCCTAGTTTAGCACTTTTTAAAGTCCTGGTTTAGTCCTAGTTTAGTCCCGGTTTAGATCTTGTTTAGCCCTGATTAGATTATGGATTAGCTCTGGTTAAATCCTGGTTAAATTCTAGTTTAGTCCTTGTTTAGATCTGGTTAAGTCCTGTTTTAATCCTGTTTTAGATTTTGTTCAATCCTACTTTAGTCCTGGTTTTCACCAAAACACAGGGAAAAAAAAGATGGGTTTAAAAGATTTCACTGAAAAATTTAGAAAATTTTGATTTAGAAATTTTGATTTTGTTTTGTTTTATTTTTTTTTTTTGGCGAAATGTATAATTTTACTTGACTACGTAGAAGCAACTATAATGTAAACAAGGTCCACAGCTCTAGTCCTGGTTTAGTCCTGGTTCAGTTTTGGTTTAGTCTTAGTGCTAGTTTACTTCTGGTCTAGTTTTGGATTAGATCTGGTTATATCCTGGTTTAGATCTGTTTAAGTAATGGATAAATCCTGGTTTCGTCTTAAATTAGATCTGGTTAAGTCCTGGTTTAGTACGGACTTAGATATGGTTTGGTCCTGGTTTAGTCTTGGTTTAGAGCTGATTAAATCCTGGTTTAGTCCTGGTTCAATCCAGGTTTAGTCCAGTCCTAGTCCAGTTGTGACATACGTAGAGGTATTTCCATAACTGTTACCTAGCAACCAGAATGTAAACAAAGGCCAAAACTGGTCTAAGTTTAGACTAATAAAAGAAATGATTTAGTTTGTCTCAGTTTTGTGTCTTTTAAGTACACCTGATTTTGTGACGTAAAACTATAAATATTTAAAACCCCAAACCGAACCGGAATTTAAAAAAACCCGAGAACCCGTCGTGTGCACTTTAAACGTCGCTAGCTCATGCTAACGTCACAGTTTCCGTCGGGGGGGTTAGCTTTGTTTGCTAACACGTCACGTTTAAAGGGCAGTGGTCCACGGATCGACTGATAAGAGCCCAGAGTTTGGACCGAGACGACGACAAAACCAAAAACCAGTTCAAATGACCTAATCTGGGTCATTTTACACTTTTGTCATGTGACCAGAAATGAACCAATCAGAATCTGGCAGCGGCGAGTTCACAGGCTAATGCGTCTGGCTGAGGTTTAGTCCTGGTTTAGTCCTGGTTTAGATCTAGTTTATTCCTGGTTTAGATCTAGTTTATTCCTGGTTTAGATCTAGTTTAGTCTTGGTTTAGATCTGGTTTAGTCCTGGTTTAGATCTGGTTTAGACCTGGTTTAGTCCTGGTTTAGATCTTGTTTAGTCCTTGTTTAGATCTGATTTAGTCCTAGAACTAGATTAGTTGTAGTTTAGTCTTGGTTAGGTCTTGGTTTAGATCTGGTTTAGTCCTAGTTTAGTCCTAGTACTAGATTAGTTCTAGTTTAGTCTTGGTTTAGTCCTGGTTTAGATTTAGTATAGTTTTGGCACTAGTTTAGTCTTGGTTTAAATCTGGTTTAGTCCTGGTTTAGTTCTAGTGTTCGATTACTTTTAGTTTAGTCCTGTTTCAGTCTTGGTTTAGTCTTAGCACTAGTTTAGTTTTGGTTTAGTCCTGGTTTAGATCTGGTTACATCCTGATTTCAGTCCTTGTTAAGTCCTGGTTTAGTTTTAGTGCTAATTTAGTTATAGTTTAATCCCGGTTTAATCCTGGTTTAGATCTGGTTTAGTTCTGGTTAAGTCTTTGTTTAGATCTTGTTTAGTCCTAGTACTAGTTTAGTTCTAGTTTAGTCTTGATTTAGTCCTGATTTGGTCCTGGTTTAGTTTTGTCTGAGTGTTTTGAGAATTGACTTGTTTGAAAGTTTGTCAAATATTGGATCCTGGAATTGCCTGGAATGTTCCGCAATGTGGCATTAAAGCAGCCCTGCGGTGGATAATTCTGTTAAAATTTGCACATTTCAAATCACAATAAAACGATTTTCTTCATGGAAACGAGCACGAGGCCGAGTCCGAGGTCAGATCTGTGGAGAGGCGACCCCGTTCACTGTAAGAATCCATTTTTAAATAAAATAAAAACACTTATAATCGAAAAAAAAAAAAAAAAAATGTAAGATAGATAAATATCACTAAATAAATACATAGATAATGACATAATTTCAGTCAAAACAGTTTGCTCCACTTAACAACAAATGCATTTTTAAATCAAAACTACTCAAAATAAAATAAAACTGTTAAATAATTCGGGATGTAACGATATCCAAATCTCACCGTATGATGTTTATTACGATATTTTTTTGCTTTTAAAATAAATCCGTGTGTCGTTCGTTCATTCATTTTTCAAAATAAAACTAAAAATAAGAAAATGAAAAAACAACAAAACAACAATTTTCTTCATTATTTGTCTCCAAAACCAAAATGAAAAAACAGATAATGATTCGATTTTTCAGTTTTTCGATTTTGTGTTTAAATGAAACGGATAATGGACTGAACCAGGACTAAACCAGGTCCGGGACCAGACCAGGACTCAGACCGGGACCAAACCAGGACTGAGACCGGTACCTGACCAAGATCAGACCGGGACTGAGACCAGGACTGAGACCGGGACCAGACCAAGACCAGACCAGGACTGAAACCAGGAATTAGACCAGGACTCAGACCAGGACTGAGACCGGGAGCAGACTGTGATTGAGACCGGGACTGAGACCAGGTCTGAGACTAGGACCAGACCAGGACTGAGAACGAGACCAGACCACGACTGAAACCAGGACTGAGACCCGTGATTGGGACCGAGACCAGACCAGGACCAGACCGGGACTAAGACGGACCAGACAAGACTGAGACTGAGAGCCAGACTAGGACCAGTCCAGGACTGAAAATGGTTTAGTCCTGTTTTAGTCCTGGTTCAGTCCGTTATCCGTTTTTTCCATTTTTCATTTAAACACAAAATCGAAAAACTGAAAAAAAAAACCCGAATCATTATCTGTTTTTTTCATTTCAGTTTTGGAGACAAATAATGAAGAAAATAGTTTTTGGGTTTTTTTTCATTTTCTTATTTTCGGTTTTATTTTGAAAAACAAATGAACGAATGATACGCGGACTAAAACACCCTGACAAGACGGTCATTTTGGTGTAAATTATTTCTGTGATAATCCCAAGAATTCAAGTCAAAAACATATTTCTTCACGTTGTCTGCGCTGAAATGAATCATGGGAAATGTAGTTTTCTATGTTTATAAACTGTTGCTGCTATAAAACTATGAATTTAAGCAAAGGAACTTGTAATTTCGATATTAATGTGAGACTTTTGACGACACGACATCATGATATTTCGGTTATTGTTACATCCCAATTAATTCAACTCATTTAATAGTTTGTTTTTTTTTACACTTAGAGACACGTCGAAACAGTATGCCGCTCAAAATAAGATCGTAAATTCAACTCATTCAACTTGTGTTTTGCAGCGTTTTTTTTTTGGTTTTTTTTTTCCGCACGTAGAGACACGTCAGTCATACTTATTTTTTTTTTTCCAAGTTTCAAAGCGATTTAATCACAAGACACTGGTCAGGTCCATTACAAACTTCACCGGTTTGAACAGATTAGGATTAAGATCACATAAAGGCACCGGCGGTTCAGAGAGGTAACCCGACGAAACAAAAGATTATCGAGCAGGAAGTGTCAACCCTTCACAATAAAAGTCTACAATTATCAAGTATTACCAGGCATTTGGTGAGTTGTGATTGTGAGTAAAAGGGACCGACGCCGGACACGGACGTCAAATCTGTAAATTTTTTTTTTTTTTTTCAAGAGTAGAAACAGTTGAAAGAGAAACAGGTTTGTAAACATTGACGTAAAATATGCAAAAATTTACACGTACGATTGACGTGAACATGTATTACATTGGTTAGGAAGGGCATCCGGTATAAAAACAATCACAAATAATTCACCTTAGACATTCAAAAACAATTACAGATTTAAGTTTGTGTCCGGCGTCTTACATAAAAACATAAAAAAAACATCCAAACATTGCGTAACTTTTCCGGCGAAGAGCCCGTTTACCTGCTCGTTTCCGCGGCGATGTCATTGCCTCGCCCGGTTTTCCACTCCACGGAGTTTAACCGTATCTAAAGAGACGTATCTATCGCCACGGAGACGAGCAGATTCGTCAAGACTCTTCCCCCGAGTTATTAAACACATCTTGGGTCAGATCTGCGGAGAGGCGAGCCCAGTGACAGTGAGAAAGCATATATATCAAAAACAACAGAACAAGTGTAATCAAGTAGTATGCGCCAAATGGACGAGTTAAATGCCACACTCTGGAATATTCCGAGCGATAACATAAGAATGGAGAGCCTCGTATCTGAAAAGTTACGCAGTGAAGCTTTAACCATGTCTAAATAAGGTCAAGAGACTCTGAAATGTAACACCGCTTTGTACCAGAAATGTTCACACTGAAAAAAAAAAAAAATACAATTCTAGGTAAGTTAAAATAACTTAAATTAAGAACATTTTACTTTATTTGAGTCAATTCAAGTCAAGTTTTTCTTAATTCACGCAACATTTGATTTTGTTTCTTATTTTAAGTGCTGTAAGTTTTTTATTTATTTATTTATTTTAAGTGTAGCAAGATGTATTTTCATATTTTAAGTACCGTATTTTTCGGACTATAAGGTTCAGTATCAATTCTCTCATCTATTTTCATGCATAAATCATAACTCTCTGGATACGTGAGATTGACTAATGCCACACTCCGGAATATTCCGAGTGATAAAATCTCCATGGAGAACCTCACATCTGAAAAGTTACGCAGTGAATCTTTAAAATGGTCTAAATGAGCTAAACAAACTCTAAAAACATAACACTGCTTTGTATTAAAAATGTTTCATTTCAAATCTCTCTGGATATGTGACATAGATAAATGCCACATTCCGGATTATTCCGAGTGATAAAATCTCCATGGAGATCCTCACATCTGAAAAGTCACACAGTGGATCTTTAACCATGTCTAAATTGAGAGACTCTGACGCTTTGTCCCAGAAATGTTCAGTTTAAAATCTCTTTGGATACGGTAGACGGATAAATGCTATACTCTGGAATATTCCGAGCAAAGAATCTCCATGGAGAACCTCACATCTGAAAAGTTACACAGTGAAACTTTAACCATGTCTAAATGAACTACAGCAACTCTGAAACGTAACACTTTCTTGTACCAGAAATGCTCCGTTTAGAATCTCTGTTTACGCTAAACAGATAAATGCTATATTCCAGAATATTCCAAGCAAAGCAACTCCACCTGAAAAGTTACACAGTGAATCTTTAAATTTATCTAAAACAAACTGTGTCACGTAACATTTCTTCTCCCACAAGTTGAAAACAGGTCAAGCCTTTTAAAAGTTATTTCCAGCGCATCGTCGTCCGCCCACCGTTTTTGAGCAGGGGCTAAATTAGCACGCGCTACGGGACGACGCTAAGCTAACGTTTATGTGCGCATTTAAAAAACAACGGCGGCCATTTCGGGGAGCCGGGTTTGTCATTAGGAAACCACAGTGTAACAGACGGTGTGTTTAAAGCTACGTCTGAGGGGAAAAAAAACACACAAAAAACGCATTCTTGGCCATGTTCGGGCTAGCCGCTAGTTAGCACGCTGCGTGGGAAACGGCGGCTAACGCGGATACACCTTATGTTTATGGAGTTGCGTTTCACGGCGTTCCCAGACCAGACTATGTTTAACGAGGTTTACAGAAAGGTTTCATATAAGCGTGTTTTTTGTTGTTTTTTTTCAGTCACATACCACGCAGCTTTTGGAAAACAAAAACTATGCAACTTTAAAATGTTCAAATCTACTGATAATAACAAAAACTGCACAGGATTTCATAACAAATCTTGGTTTAGTCCTTATTTTCTCCTGGTTTAGACCTGGTTTAGTCCTGGCACTAGTTTAGTTCTGGTTTAGTCTTGGTTTAGGTGAGTTTTAGTCCCAGTTTAGTCCCGGTTTAGTCCTGGTTCAGTCCTGGTTTTGTCTTAGCTCTAGTATAGTTCTGGTCTAGTTTTAGATTAGTTCTAGTTTAGTCTTGGTTTAGTCCTGTTTTATTCCTGGTTTAGATCTGGTTTAGTCCCAGCTGAGTCCTGGTTCAGCCCTGGTTTAGTCCTGGTTTAGTCTCAGCACTAGTATAGTTCTGGTTTGGTGCTAGATTAGTTCTAGTTTAGTCTTGGTTTAGTCCCAGTTTAGTCCTGGTTATGCCTTGGTTTAGTCTTGGCACTAGTTTATTTCTGGTTTACTCCTGATTTAGTCCCAGTTTAGTCCTGGTTCAGTTCTGGTTATGTCTTGGTTTAGTCTTAGCACTAGTTTAGTCCTGGTTCAACCCTGGTTTTGTCCTGGTTCAGTCCTTGTTTAGTCCTGGTCCAGTCCTGGTTTAGTTCTGGTTTTCTTGTAGTTTTGAACGACAATGTCCCAAGTTGAACATCCCAAATAGTCAAAAAAAAAAATCTTAAAATCTTAAAATCTTTCTCATTTGTTGTGGCACAGTTCGGCAAGTTCGAATCGAGTGAACGAATACAAAGCAAAGTCTTCACTGTAAGCTCTTTTTTAATGTCCAAATTCCCCAAAAACGTAAAAAAAAAAAAAAATGTTCACGATGTAAACTGTGACGCTTAAAAATAAACACAACAGTAGAATTTTCTCGCATTTCTCTGTAACCTTCTACAGATGTTTCAGCCATACTTTAATGTCAAATTTTACAAAAAAATTTTAAAAAATTCACAGAAAAAAAAAAAAATCAGTTGATGCAAATACAACGTTCCATGATGTCCCAAAACTGTCAAAAAAAAAATTTGAGAGAATTTAAAAAGCCCCGTAACCCAAAAGGTCTGTGTACTGTTCGGTAATCAGGAAGTGCACTGTTAGAATGCTAGTTGTTGTGGCTTTAAAATGATAAAAATCAGGTAAAATCAGAGGCTTTAAAGATGTAATGATGCAGAGGGGACGGGGTTCAAAAGTCCGGCGTTTTCTTTTGGAGGTTTTCTCGACGTCTCGGTTTCGACAGAGTTCAAATCCACATTAAGGGTTTAAGGTTCGGTCGCTGAACACGAGGGTCAAAGTTCAGAGGTCAAAACCAAAGGATGTGGGAGACAAGATCCGGCTTTTCCGTGTCCTAATTTGTGTTTAAATGAAAAAAAAAAAAAAAAAACGTAGATTAACTTGGAGTTGGAGGACGGGTGAAAGTTCTGGAAAAGTTCTCAGGTGGAGATTTGCAGAGTTAGTTTACGGTTCACATTTCTGTAATTCCCGGGTTTGTCGACGTGAAACAAAAACTGGCACAAAGTTCAGAGTCTTTTCTGTCAGGATAAATAAACTTCAGTGAAATATTTAAAAAACAATGTACAAAAATAAAAATCAAAACCATCTTGTGAGCTCAAACTTGTAACATATTTTAATTTCATGTCTGAAGAAAAACCTTTGAAACTGGATAAAGACACACTGTGTAACATTTCTAGTGGATTACAGATAGAGTCTAACCAGGTCTACCAGGTCTAAACCACTGGACCAGGACTAAACCAGGACTAAACCAGGAATAAACATGGTCTAAAGTCGGTCTAAATTAGGTCTAAACCACAGGGCCAGGACTAAACATGGTCTAAACCAGGACTAAACCAGGTCTAAATATGGTCTAAACCAGGTCTAATCCAGATCTAAACCAGGTCTAAACCACTAGATCAGGACTGAAGATGGTCTAAACATGGTCTAAACCAGGTCTAAATATGGTCTAAACCAGAATTAAACTTGGTCTAAACCAGAAGTAAACATGGTCTAAACCAGGTCTAAATATGGTCTAAACTAAGACTAAACATGGTCTAAACCAGGATTAAACCAGATCTAAATATAGTCTAAACCAGGACTAAACCAGGTCTAAACCAGGACGTGGACCTAGAGGACAGGTGAAAGTTCTCAGGTGGAGTTTGCAGATTACACATTTGCAGAGTTGGTTTACGGTTCACATTTCTGTAATTCCCGGGTTTTTCGGCGTGAAACAAAAACTGGCACAAAGTTCAGCGTCTTTTCTGTCAGAATAAATAAACTTCAGTGAAATAATTGTCCAATTTAAACTCAAAAAACAGCGTAGAAAAATAAAAATAAATAAAAATCAAAAATCATCTTGGGCTCAAACTTGTAACACATTTTAATGCCATGTCTGAAGAAAACCTTTGAAACTCATAAAGCCACACTGCGTAACATTTCTCGTGGATTACAGATAAGCGTGTAACCTCCTGCGTAGCTGTTTTGCGTAGAATATTCCACAGTATGGCATTAAAAAAATCGCGACGTTTCATTGATTTCGTAACAGGTTTTTCGACAAACAATGCGTTCTTTGAGGGGCGCGTGGGGGCTCACCTCTCCGCAGATCTGACCCGTAACTTGCAGCGGTGCTCGTCTCCATGGAGATAGACTTGAATGCTTAATGCCGTATTGCGGAAGATATTGCAGGCACCGAAATAACACCTCCACGGAGACAAGCAGAGCACCGTGCCCTCCATCAGAAAAGTTACACACCTCGGCCACGTTTACAGGATCGTTTTTTAATTCCAAATGAATTGTTCAGGATTAAATAGTTCGGAATTAAATGGAAAACACTTTAAATATTTAATTCCGCTTAACGTTTGAGGTTCAGGAAGGTTTCTTGATTGGACAGAGACACCAACATATTTTCATCGACTGAAAGAAAACACAAACTTCAGCTGCTGCCATTTTTTTTTTTTTTTTGTTATCTCGGTTTCTCGTTACGCCACGGACACAAACGTGATCCGAAATTTTTCCGAAGTCGTTCCGAAGATAATGAAGCAGCAGCTGGAAAATTCCGTCATCACCCTTTACGTCCGTCAGCCGAAAAATAAATGAATTCGGCGTTAAAATAATTGGAAATAAACCACCCAGTTACTTCGGGATTCTTTTCCAAAGCGAAGTCCGAAGTCAGTTCTTTTTATTCGGAATTAAATCTCTCATGTAAACGTGGCGAGCGACACTTTAAATACGCGACTACGATTTTTGACTTCTAGTTCTAGTTTTAGTAAATTGCCACATGAAATTGGAAAAACAAAACAAACAAAAAAACACTAACACAGCAGTTGAACTTCATAGATAAATAGTTAAATAAAAACACTTTCTCGGGGGTTGCCAGGTTTGCTCTTTTCATCCGTAACTGTGAGGACTTTTGGGGTTGATGGGCGACGAGTCTTCCCTGCCGCGCTGCCCGATCAGCTGGTACAGTCTGTGGCTCAGGTTTTGCACTTGGCACGTACCTAGCTTGCAGCCCACGCGCATCAGCTGGGCGTGGTGGTGCTGCGAGCCGCGGGCGCTGAGGTGGCGGCGCGGTCGGAGCAGCGGGGAGCGTTCCGGAGCCGGGGAGGGATCGGAGGACGAGGAGGGGGAGGAAGCCTTGGAGACGGAGCGAGTGGACCGGCGCTGGAGGAGAGACGTCAGCCATTTCGTGAGCGGGCCCGAGTCCGAAGCGGGCGCAGACGACGGAGGCGCGTCTTCGGAAACGTCGAAGAGCTGGTTGATCAGGTCCGATCTGGGAAAAAAGAAAAGAAAGAAAAGAGGTTTGTTAAAATTATGAAGCTGAAACAAGTAGAAATAACTTTTTAATGCGTTAATTTTGCGTTAAGTAATTTTTTTTTTCAATTATTTTTCTCCTTTTAACGCCGTTTTTTTATTATTTATTTTTTTATTGTACTCGTCTGTTTCTGCTGCGGCGTCACAGAAAACAGAGAGAAAGAAAGTGAGATAAACAAACATGGAGAAGAGTGAGGAACTTTTACGTGACCATTTTCATTTTAAAGTTCTTCCAGACGGTGCAGTCGACACAGACAAAGTCATTTGTAAAACTGCAACACTGAACTGTCTTATCGCCGTAGTTTCTCGAGTCTGAAATATCACATAAACCAAAACAGTCTGTTGATGCCGACAAATCATTCAGTGAAACAAGTGGAGCGATAGTCTGATTCATGAGCCGGTTTCACTTTGTAGAAACCGTCTGACCTCGCAGCATTAGGATTCGTTCGCTCGACGGTAGGCGGGTGCTTTTTTATTAACCAATCGCTGCTATTTGGTCGTGACGTATGTAATGCGCCAAATCCCGTAGGAAGAAGGACAATAACGTCTTTCCTCTTGATAAAATTCACCAAACATTCTCTTTGTTCCGGCTTTAAATCCTTGATCTCAGGAATCGTTGCCAACACAGAATATATCACTCTATGCTGATTGACTGGTGCCCGGACTCGCACTTTCGGGGTTTTTGTAAATCGTCTAGTGTATTCTGATTCCTGATCTAGTTGCTGGAGAGAAATGAAATTGAACGGAGGCACTAGGTGGCGCCAGACTGACAAGTGGAGCGAGGTTTCAGCCGACCACGTCAGATGCAACATGTCAGAGCCGTCGCTTTGTATGCACTTTAATGCAGGGCACGTAGAGCATCACGAGCTTTCAGAGGCACCACCACTGCTCTACATCACAACCCCACACACCCCCAGTCTTACTTTTCCTCACATTAATAATAATAAAATTGACAAACTGCACTAAAGTGTTTTCTGTTTCTGTTTTTTCCTGTTTTTGACTGAGAAACATTAAAGCAGTTGCACATTTCAGTTTTGTATTTGGTTTGATTTGATTTTTTCAGTTGAGATTTACTCTGAACACTTTATTTTCCTGCTGCTGATCACATGAACTTTAATTTTCAATTCAATTCATTAAGTCAAATGGTTGGAATTGACAAACTGAACTGAAATTAGTTAGTTTTTTTTTTTTGAGTGAGATTCTGCAAAGGAAGAAGAATAAACATGGACTTTTCAGACTCGTGTCCTGCTCCTGTTGAAAGAAAAAGTCACAATACTCTACTTTTGAATTCATTAAATGGTTTTGTGTGTAACATGTGATTAATCATGATTAATCACAGAAACTCATGTGATCAGTGTGATTAAAACTGTTTATTTTTGCCCAGGCCTCATTTTTTGTCACTATGTTGAGAGGAAACACTTAAAATTTTACAAATATTTACAAGTATAATCAGTAAAATTTCAATTAGTATCAAGTTAATTCAAGCAACGTTCGATTTTGTTTCTTCTTTTGAGTCTAACTTTTTCAAATGTGCAGATGTTATTTCTTTGTCTGAAATGTTCCACAGTATGGCATTAAACCTTTCTAGACCAAACCGGACCGAGTTACGGGTCAGATCTGTGGGAAGATCAAAGGTCGCAGTGTTGTTTTTCGAGGTATTTTTGAGCTATAAAACCACCTGTAATTGAATAAATGTAACTTCCAGCTGTTTTAATGTCACACTGTGGAACATTTTAAGTCTCGTTCGCTTCAGATTATAGTTTTCCCAGCGCCGCGTCTGTTATATTTGGACTCGCTCCTCTACAGCTGGAGACGAGACTCGGCCAAAAGGACAACGCAGCAAGTTTTGAGTCGGCCATTTTCCAGACTCAAAACAGGCCCGGAGCATTTAAAGCCGCACTGTGTAACTTTTAGAGCTCGAAAACACCTAGAAAAATAAAGTGATTGTATTTAGAGTCGCGGTGTATTTTTAAAAAGTTATATTTTGCATAAACAGTTGCTGGAGCTTTGACGTCTGAGAGAGAAACTGAAATCTGAGCCTGTAATCTGAAGATGTTTGTACCAAAACACTGAAGATTCTGTTCCCTGCACAGGACAGTTTGTTTTCTAAATAAACGCAGAGTTTGGGATTTGATAATTGTGCCGACTCAAAATCTGCTCCTGTCTGCTCCTGTCAGGTCCTGTGGCTCTTTATCTCTCTGCTCCTGTCAGGTCCTGTGGCTCTTTATCTCTCTGCTCCTGTCAGCTTTTGTCTGCTCCTCTGGCTCTGCTCCGGTCAACTCCTGTCTCCTCCTGTCTGCTCCTGTCTGCTCCTGTCTGCTCCTGTCAGCTCCTGTCAGCTCCTGTCTGCTCCTGTCAGCTCCTGTCTGCTCCTGTCTTCTTCTGTCTGCTCCACTGGCCCTTCACCTGTCAGCCCATGTCAGCTCCTGTCTGCCCCTGTTTGTTAATCTGGCTCTGCTCCTGTCAGCCCCTGCCTGGTCCTGTCTCCTCCTGCCAGCTCCTGTCAGCTCCTGTCTCCTTCCCTGACTCTTCACCTGTCAGCTCCTGTCTACTCCTGTCTGCCTCTGTCTACTCCTGTCTGCCTCTGTCTACTCCTGTCTGCTCCTGTCAGCCCCTGTCAGCTCCTGTCTCCTCCTGCCAGTTCCTGTCTGCCCCTGTCTCCTCCTGTCAGCTCCTGTCATCTCCTGTCTCCTCCCCTGGCTCTTTACCTGTCTGCCTGCTCCTGTCTGCTCCTGTCTGCTCCTGTCAGCTCTGATCTGCTCCTCTGGCTCTGCTCCTGTCTGCTCCTGTCTCTTCTCCTGGCTCTTCACCTGTCTACTTCTCTGGCTCTGCTCCTGTCTGCTCCTGTCAGCCCCTGTCAGTTACTCTGGTTCTGCTCCTGTCAGCCCCTGTCAGCCCCTGTCCTGTTTTTCTGGTTGTATAACCTCTGAGCCGCAGCTTTAATTCTCTGACTGTTTTTTTTTCTAATCTTCTCGTAAACAGAGGAAACTTTGTCGACACAAATAAATAAAACTTATTCAATTTTGCGATTAACTCTGGATTTCCTGTTCTGGGTCATTTTGTAACAGGTGAGCCTCGACTTGGATTACAACAACATAAAGCAGCACTGTGTCACTTTTCGGCGTTTAACCGGTGAGGGGCGAAGGAAGCGCGCTGTGATTGGCCGACGGCTCAGGGGGGCGGGACAAGAAAGAGCAGGTAACAATATAACTGTAATCATTGAATAAAAGTGAGAATTTTAAAAGCAAAGTTTAAGTTTTGCTTCTGTAAAACGTAAACAAATGTGCTCAAAGCTGCATTAAACACATTATTACTCAGTGTTTATCTGAGTCGTCCTCGTAGGAAACAAAAAAAAAAAAACTTAAATTCTCCACGTTCACCAAAACAGGGAGGAAATGCCGGGAAAATGACGTCACGATCCTGGACTAAAGGATTAGGCTCAAGTGTCGTTCATTTGTTTCTTTTAATGCGCCTTATAATCCGGTTGCCTGATTCGTCAGATGGTTTCACTTTGTAGAAACCGTGTGACCTCGCAGCATTAGGATTCGTTCGCTCGACGGTAGGTACTTTTTTATTTAAACCAGTCGCTGCTGTTTGGTCGTGACGTTTGTAATGCGCCGCTAATGGGGTTAACTGGTGTATTAAGCTTTTCCTAAATCCCGTAGAAAGAAGGACAATAACGTCTTTCCCCTTGATAAAATTCACCAAACATTCTCGGGAATCGTTGCCAACACAGAATATATGTCTCTTCACTGATTGGCTGGTGCCCGAACTCGCACTTCTGGGGTTTTTGCAAACCGTCTAGTGCAGAAGTGTCAAACACAAATTCACAGAGGCCAAAATTAAAAACTGGGATAAAGTCGTGGGTCAAACTAAATATTTATTGAAAAATTTCAACAATGTCTGCATGTTTTCTCTTCTTTTGAGATCTGTAATGTTAAACCTTTTCTTATTAAAATAAATGTTTAATAATAGTTTTGTTTAAATATTGAATCCAGAACAAGCAGAATCTAAAATAATAACAACATTTTAAATAAATAATGTCTCTATATTCGATCTGTAGCCGGCGGGCAGCTCTAATACATGTTTGATATGATTTCGCGGGCCAAATATAATTATATCATGGGACAAATTTGGCACCAGGGCCTGAGTTTGACATGTCTGATCTAGTGTGTTCTGATTCCTGATCTAGTCGCTGGAGAGAAATGAAATTGAACGGAGGCACTAGGTCTTATAATCCAGTGCACCTCCTGTATGAAAATAGACGAGAGAATTCAACATTATTGACATTGAGCCTTATAGTCCGAAAAATACGGTACTTCAAAGCTGTTCTCTTTTGACCAATCAGAGCTCGCCTAGTCACTAATATTACTTTTAATTTGGCCATTCGGTTTCAGTAAAGTGTAGAGATGTAACGATATCCAAGTCTCACGATACGATATCGTCACGGTACGGTATTTATTGCGATATCGTGGGAAAGCTCATGATTAGGCGTGTAAAAATAAAAAAAAAAACAAATCTCTCAGGTCGATATTTTCACAATATACATCTCACGGTACAATATTTATTGCAATATTTTGTGGAGGAAAACAAAACTCTGAATATGCTTACTCCAAAGAACTAAGACTTAAAAGTGTTAGAACTGTTATTTCTTCTTGTCGTCTGCACTGAAATGGAGCAAAGGATCATGGTCTATGTAGTTCTCTGTCTTTTTTTTTTTTAGCTATTGCTGCACCATAACTCTTCATTTAAACAAAGAGACTTGTAATTCGATATATTGTGATGGTCCACGATAATATTGTGAGAACATTGACGATACGATATCACGATATTTCGATTATTGTTACATCCCTAGTAAAAAGAGTTAAAACAAGTTATAACTTAGGCTTGACTTGTCCACATCACCAATCACACCTGGAGCAGTGACAGCCATCGCTACGGTAACCACCAGAACAGTCG